TTCCTTCAATTCACTTCCACCCCCCAAAGACAAGTATAAATTCGTCTTACAGGAACTCCAACTGGAAGTGCTGAGCAAGGATTACCAACAAATTGAGCAGTCCTTGGAACTCATGAACACCCGGACAGAAATCAGTAAAGGCGATATTGGAAGACTGCGGAAAAAAATGGAGGACTTGGCCGCAAAAGCTCGCCGTGCGGAGAGTCTGGAGCGGATGCGGGCCAAGGAGACGACTATTGCGCACCAGGCACTTTGGGCCGCCGTACAGGAGGCCGAGGCAGGCGTAGCTGAAGTCGAATCAGAACTGGAGAAAGTGTCTGCAGTTATAGAGCGTCGGAAAGCATTGGTGGAAGAAGCATCCCAAGCATACGAGCGCTCGGAGGAAGCCCGCGATGCAGCGACCCTGCGAGTCCAAGAAGCCACAGAATTGATGACACCTGCGAAGGAAGAAGTTCATGAGCTGAAAGAGGCCTTTACGAAGATCAAGGACAGACTTAGGGCGCTTCTGCCTGACGAGCGCAATGCCGAATCGCAAGTCGCGGCCAAGAAGCGCAGAGTGGATGAGTACAGGGCGGAAATCGAAGAATTGCGTCGACGACAAGAAGAAGCCGATGACGGTGTATATGCAGAAAAGCTACGACAGGTGGAAGACGCAAAGGCCAGGCACGAAGAAGCTCAAGAAGTGTACCGAAGTCATGGTGCCGAACATCCTGCCCTCCAAGAGCAGTTCAAGGCCGTTCAGAAAGAAAAGCAGATTGCAGACCAAAAAGTCCAGAAAGCTCGAGACGAAGAGCAAGCAACTCAGCGAACCATCCAAAGTCTTCAAGGCGGTCAGCGTGGGTGGATCGAAGGTTATTCACAGCCTCACAACCTGCAGCAGCTACTAAAAGCGATCGATTCCAACAATCAATTCCGGGAAAAGCCGGTCGGGAACAATGGGTCGCCACGTCAAGCTCTTGCGGTCTGAATGGGGCTACATCCTGGAGAAGCAGTTTGGTGCCAGTCTGAACGCATTCGTTGTGACCAGTCGCGCGGATCAGACCATCTTGTCCGATTTGATGAAGAAATGCAGTTGGGTGGCACCAGTTTTCATTGGGAAGTCGGATCCGATTAATACAACAGCACATGAACCGGACCCGAGTCTACTGACCTGGATGAGAGCCCTGAACATTGATAACGATCTCGTCCGCAATCAATTCATCATCAACCAGTCCTTTGAGCAGACGGTGCTCATGGAATCGCGGAATGAGGGCCTAAGATTCATGGAAGGCCGTGGACCGCTGACTCGCAATGTGAAGATGTGTTTCACTTTCGCCGATGGCAACAAAAGGAGAGGTCGCACTATCAACTATACGGCCAGCGGTGGCACGAACGACAGTCCCATCGACGAATTTAGGGGAGCCTTGCGGATGCAAGCGGACAAAGGAGATCAAATCAAAGAAGAGCAAGCACGTCTTGCAAGCCTTCGGCAAGAGACGCACAATCTCGAGCAGGCAGCCGCCGACCTGCAAAGCCGCCTCAACACTGCAAGAGCTAGAGAGCAAGACCATGTCCGGGAAAACAAGAGGCTTAAGCTTGCTTTCCAGCAGGCTGCTGATGCACTCGGGCGGCTCGAAGACGAACTGAGCAAAGCCACACCTGATGCAGCAGCTATCGATGTTCTTGAAGAGAACCTGGCGGTAGCCGTCAGGGAGGTAGCAGAGGCTGAGGGTGTCTACGAAGACATGATTGTACAGAAAAGCGCGCTCAACACAGAGAATAGGGAAAACAAGCGGAAGCTCGAAGCTGCGCAAGCAACGCTAGAGGAGCTAGAGTTCAAGCTCAACAAAGCAAAGGCAACAGTTATCAAGTATGACAACCAGCGGAGCAGACGATCTTAAGAAGAAGAACCAAGCCATCCTCCAAGTCACGGCAGCAGAAGAGAACAAAAAGATCTGGGAGGAAGAGCGAGCATCAGCGCAGGTGGAACTCGATACAGCCATTAAGGCAGCTGAGGAAGTATGTCCGCAGCGTGTGGACGTCCCCGAAGGCAAGAAGGCCACTGAGCTCGGCAATATGCTTGAAAAATTGCGCAACACGAGGAAAGTGGCTGAGAAGGAGTTGGGTGGCTCACAGGACCAGCTGCTGCGAGAAGCCAACGAAGCAAAGAGAGTGCACCAGGAGGCGAGAAAGGAGTTTGAATCGCTGGAAGGACTCAAGACGGTGTGTGGATTTGTATAGCATCACTTCGGACGGTTGGCTAATTATGCAACAGCACCTTATCAACACGGTCAACAATCGCCGACAGCGGTGGCAGCAGTTCCGCTCAGGCATCTCGGTTCGAGCCCGTGTCACGTTCAACTACCTCCTCAGCGAGCGCAAGTTCCGTGGCACCCTTAGTATCGATCATAAGAATGGTCTGCTTGATATCCATGTCCAACCGGACATTACAGAACGAAGCGGCGATGGCAGACAGACGAAGACGCTCTCCGGCGGTGAGAAGTCCTACTCGACTGTTTGCCTGCTGCTTGCACTATGGGATGCCATGGGTTCACCTATCCGCTGTCTCGATGAATTGTAAGTAGCTTCTCCCACTTTCGGCATGCCGTACTGACAGTTGCAGCGATGTTTTCATGGACAGCGTCAATCGTGAACGCAGCATGAAGATGATCATCCAGGCTGCGCGACGTTCGATTGGTCGACAGTTTATTTTCATCACGCCGCAAGCGATGAACAACGTGGACCACACGTCGGACGTCAAGATCATTCGCATGACCGATCCTGAGCGCAACCAGACGGCGCTCAACTTCCGGCAGTCGTGAGGGCAATGCATCTCAAACGCCAACGCAACGTTTTCAATGTACAGTATTAGGTTCTATTAGTATGGGCACTGGAGTAGCATTTTCGGACTCAAGGCGCGACAGGGTTTCTATTTGTTTGGGTATACCCAGTGGGTTCGGCGCTGGTGGCATTGGCGGCCGAAAACAGGCTTACTCGAAATAGTCGGGAGAGGGTGCATGCATAGGCGACGCGTCACGAGTTCGCGGACCATCTTGGTACATGTAAGAGGGGTCTTGAACAATGTCACATATTGATGAGCAGGATCTTGGTTCCCATGTGATTTCTTGTGCAGGTTATGAAGTCGCGTAAGAATGACTGTCCATGCCGCATGCAGAGTGGTGAGAAGTGCCGGTGCGTAAGGCGTTTCGTTGCGAAGGGAACGGCGCGGCGGTGATCCGTGTCTTCATTGGACGGATGCGATACAGCGCATCCTACACTCACGCCTCACGCCTCACGCAACCGCGAGAGCCGCACTGACACCATCGCTTCACTATTCTTCGCTTCCTACAACGCCTTTGGTGATGTTGCCAGCCTTCGACCAGTGTGGGTGAACTCCAGGCAGCATGGCTTCCCCACTCCCGCCGTCGGCAGCTGGTACACCACGAGCAGCCTCGCCGCTACACTCCGACGACGCCGCGCATTCTCTCTCGACCTCGCTCCCTCCGCACGACGATGGACACACCATGGCGACACCAATCGAAGCAGACGGAGCGCGGAAGACGGGTGTGGCTGCGAATGTCGTGACCGCGTCTGCATCCGACGACGACGTCAACAGAGCACCAAAAGGGAAGGAGAAGGTCGCAAAGGGCCCGCTGAGACTGCTGGACCTGCCCGTGGATATCCTGAAGGAGATGATACACCAGGTACCTATGCGCCCCTTTGCATCACGTCGTTGCTCTGCGCTCTCAGCTTCAGCGGCATACTAACGTCAGCAACCCCACAGCTCCCCCATACCAACGACCTCACGTCCCTCTCGCTCTGCCACTCGGCTCTGCACCGGCTCACGATACCATGCATCTACTCGCGCTTCGACATCGTATGGCCAGACGAGAGCACGCACACGGAGCCGCGGTCCGGCGTGGATGCGCTCACGTACGGCCTGGCCACGCTGGTCATGGGCGACGACTGCTTCCCCCACCAGAACCGGCTGCGGCAGCAAGGGAACAGCCCAGGTGCACTCGTCAGGCCCGCAGCGACGCCATATCCCGTCCAACCGCGACGATTTGGCAACTACTACGGGCAGTTCACCAAGAAGTTCTCCCTCGGCAACGGCCCGCAGGCGTGGGTGCAGGAGTACATGATCACCAAGGAGGGCGGAAAGATGCTTGGTACGCTGGTCGCGCTTGCCATTGCGCGCATGATCAACCTCGAGACTTTTGTATGGGACATGCCGACAGGCGTGTTGCGGGACGTGTGGCTTGCGCTCTCCAGCCTCGCCCATCGGAGTGACGGTGAAGATTGCCGGCTGGAACGACTGTGGATCCGATGGCACGACAACACCATCGACTCGCCCATGCCACCGCCTGCGCCGCCGATGATTCTCAACAACGTCGGCGTTCCTCCACCTCCTGGCACTACACATCCGAGCGGTCTCGGGACGGTCCAGTCGCCAGCCGTCGCGCCTCAGCCGTACCTACCGAGCAACGTCTCTGCCCTGGATCGCGTTGAGCACCCTACCTTCTCTGCCATACCCGCACTCAAGAGCCTGAGCGTTCTCGACATCGACGAACTGCCATACTTGGAGGAGATGAGCATACTCATTGCAAGGTCGCAGAAGAAGTTGCGCGAACTTCGTGTCGGTATTGCTCCACATGCGCAGCAACGGGACTGGGTCACGGTGTGGGAAGGCGATGGCTTGCAACAAGTCGACTACAGTGTAAACACGACAGCCGCCAGTACGCTCGGCGAGAAGAGACTGGGTGGTGTGCTCGGGATCTTGGTCGGCCGAGTGCACAATATGCGCCATTCCGAGGACTCACAACCACTCAAAGCGCCTGCAGCCACATCTACTGAGCGACCGGTCGAGGCGACGCCAACCAAAACAACGACATCAAACATACTGCCATCCATAGCCAGCCTGTCGATGCAGGATCGCGAAGCCGAGCAGGACGTAGATCATTTCGGAAATCCCATGGAAGAGTCCGAGATAGTCGAGGAACAGGACCCGGTCGACGACGACATAGCAGCTGAAGTTGAACAGGTCACAGCACCTCTACTAGCTAATCCCGTTCGGACCCCACTGAAACCAGTTGCTGATTCGACCGCTCAAGAGGCGTCCGCTGGTACTAAGAACAGTTCCGAAGACCCGCCAGAGGAGCTCCTGAACGGCAAGCTGAAGTTGGAAGTCTTGGAGCTCGAACGTGTACCGTTGTCAGTGGCTGTTCTGCGGAGAGCATTCGACTGGTCGATATTGTCGACTCTGACACTGCTTCATTGCAGCAACCATGAGCAGCTGTGGAAGGTCCTCCGACGACAATACACTCCTCGCTCTTCTTTCCCTGGATCACCGTCACCGTCAAAAGCTTACAAAGCATCATACACACTACGATCTGAGTACCAGCTGAACCTCAAGCGGATACATACGAACACAGTTTCGCCGGCTTTGATCTCATTCTTGAAAGAAACTTTGGCTCCAAACAGTCTCGAGGTGCTCTTCCTCCAAGAGAGTCGTTCATATTCGTCTACTGTAACAGTGGATGCGATATATCGAGGACCGATGCGAAGACATAGAGCGAGCTTGAAGAAGCTGATGATCGACAGTGGTGAGAAGGGGCCTGATGGACACACAAACACCAGCTCGAGGTGGCGTCGATGGATGCTCAACCGCGAGATACTCACATTCATCACAAGTGGACGCATGAGTAGTTTGCGAGAGCTTGCAGTGTCCATCGACTACAAGGACTGGGTAAGTCAACACGTGTTCGCTCGAGAGATGATAGCTAATATCAAAACAGCACCACTTCCTGCAGCGCCTTCCATACATACCGCATATCCGTTCACTCTACATCCCCTTCATCGCGGATCATGCACACGGCAGCAACATTGACCCGCGCGAACTAGCCTACCAGATCCTCGACATTGTGCATCTGCGCCCGGAAATTGAGCTATGTTACATGGGTCTATCATCTAAATGTTTCGAGATTCTAGAGAACAGGCCATCGAATTACGATCTCCGGCATGATGGTATGCACGCTGATGGCAGCGGTTCGGGTTATACTGTGCAGGATCCAATGATGTCTGATGACGAGAGCGAAGCCACGGAAGATGAAGATGATGACGATGCGGACGACAGCGCAGTTGCTCCTACTGGAGACGAAACGGAGAGCGAAGCAAGCGATGACAACGACGTCGAGAGCGACAACGAGTCGTTCATACATGAGTCGCACAAGGGCCCGAAGCTGCGCGTACGAGAGATTTTGTTTTACGAAGAGCGCGTCGAGGCGTTCAGGCGACGACATGGCGTTCTCAGGCCATGATGACGGCGCGTATATATGCTGGAAATTCAAGGGCATCAAATGGGACCAGGGACAGGCGGACTATTGGCGTTTTTATCAGGGATATCCTTCTGCCGAATGGGCATGACTTGGGACAGGCATGGTGTTGAGGGATGTCCAGAGATCGGATTCGTATTTTATGTAGTATTATATTAGGAATGAACGCTGCGTGGTTGCAGGTATCAATGGAAACGTTTATAGAGTAAGCAGGTACTTTTCACCATTCCCTAGTAAATTCCTGTTGAGGTCCAGTCATCCAGCTATGGGAGATCCACTTTTCGGTGTTGGAGGGGCACGTGAGCTCGCGTTCGCGTTTTGTCCAAGCTCGAGGTGAGCGCGACTCACGACCTGATCGCAAACAAACAGTCCTAAACTCCAAAGACGTCATAACGAAGCCATATCCAACCCATTCGCATGCGTTTGAGGCGTAGCCATGCGATTTCGACCTGCCATATCCGACTGAGCTCCCACCCGCCCACAGCAAGACGACAATCGTACAACGTCGCAAAGCGGGGCTCCGCCGCACCTCCGCCATGGACCACTCGACCCTAGTATTCGCATCCGTCTTCCCCGTTCTCTCGCTCTCGCATACGACGCCTACACCAGTCGCGACTCCTGACTTGGGCTATATAGCGCCAGGTACCTCATTCGGTAGTCCATATACCGGCAAAAACATCGAAGGATACGGCCAGAATCAACACCGAGCGGTTAAGCGCAGCCAGGCATGGAGCTGCGCAACACGGTTCTTGAGCTTGCCGAAAGATATCTCAATCGTTCCGCGATTGCACAGGACAAGGGATGTCGAAGAGGCGCTGAGCTATCTGCTCGTGGGCAAGGGAAAGAGCGAGGATAGTAAGGAAGAGAGCTTGGTGGAGTGGTATACGAATGAGTGCAGATTGCACTTTGCGAACCATGTCAGAAGCGGGTTTGAACAACTCTGGGGCAAAGAAGTGCAGCTTCAACATGCCTGGGATGTTCTGGACGAGACGCAACGCGCGTTTGAACAGGTGCAGAACTTTTACCTCGAGCCGTTTAATGAGCATCTTCTGCCGTTCTTGCAGAATGATGGGAGTGCGTCGACGATAAGGCCAAACAAGCCTACACAGGTGGAGGAGCCGGGGTCGTCGGATGCTGCTAGCTCGAAGTTTTTGAGAGACTTACATGCAATCTTTGCGCATTGTTTGCCGGCGCAGCGCTACTCGAAGACGCTGAGCTACGTCCTGTACGACGCGGGATGCAGACTCTACCGCGTATACGTACGGCATGATGGCGTACAGCCCTCATCGACGCCAGAAGTGACGACCGAGTTCCGGAAACGCATGACCACGCTTCTTCAAGGGCTGGAGCGCGTCGGTCTCGGCGGCGACAGAGCGCAGAAAGCGTTTGCGCATGCCATGAACAAGCTCCTCGACTCTTACATGACCAGCCACTACCTCAAGGTCGACTGGTATTCGAAACAGTCGATTGTATCGCACATGAGATTGTGGATCGAGAAGGGCTTCTGTCCGCTTGTCGAGCTGGTGTTGGAGTGTCTTCAGTGCGAGCAGAGTACCGTCTTGCCCACCGAAGTGACTGCATGGCAAGAGATGGCACTCAACAGACTTGGACGAGCCAGAGTTGACAATCCTCTTCGACTTTGTTATGAACTGGGATAAGAGTCTGGGTGCTGTGCTTGATATCAAGGAGTACTTGAAAGTGCCCGGCGCAAAGCAGCATCTCACTTCGAGCTTCTCACAGCAGATTTCGAGGCGCTTGTTGCATCCTGGAGCGACAACGACTTACATCTTGAATATGTATATCTCGATTATTCGCTCGTTTCATGTGCTGGAGCCGAAAGGGGGTGTTACTGGAGACGGGTGGCGAGGCCGATTAGACGGTATCTGAAAGAGCGGGAAGATACGGCTAGGATCATCATCTCTAGTCTTCTCACGGATCTCAGCGACGAAACTGGCATGAAGTTCTCCATGAACAGCGAGTTGTCATACGAAATTGCCTGCGAAATGGCCAAGCCATTCGCGAACTACGGCCAAGACATGGATGAGGAGCTCAACTGGAACGACATGAACTGGCAACCACTGCCCACGGATGCTTCGCCAGACTACAAGAAGTCAAAGGTGGAAGACGTCATATGGTTCTTGCTGACACTTTGGGAGCGAGAAGACTTCATCAACGAACTGAAGAACATCTATGGAGATCATCTACTCCCGGTGCACAGATCCCAGAGTACGAGAAGGAGATTCGACTGTGTGGAGCTGATCAAGGTACGGCTTGAGACGCGACGATAAGCTACAAGCTTGTGAAGTCATGCTACGCGACACAGTGTGCTCGACTCAAAGCGCATCAACGCTTCCATCCGAGCAGCCAGCACAACGTCTTCATCCGCGTTCCAAACACCAGATGCCCGCAACAGGAACCTCCAAACACCAGAAGTCCTCGGACCACGAACGCCTCGTCGACGTCGACCTGCACCTCCAGCACCTCCAGCAGGCCCACCAGCCCCAACTCTCAACGCCCAAATCCTCTCATCCTTCTTCTGGCCCTCCCTCCGCGACGACACCTTCCTCGTACCGGAGCAAATCGCGTCTCTCCAAAAAGACTACGAATCGCGCTTCGAGCGCATCAAAGGCATGCGCAAACTCCGCTGGATGCACGCGCTCGGCACCTCCTCCATCACCCTCACCTTCGACGACCGCACCGAAGACTTCGACCACCTGACACCCTGGCAAGTCAGCGTTGTGCACGCCTTCCAGCCGCAACCCGGCGAAGAGCACATCGCTCGCAAAAAGAAAGGCGGCGAGGGCATCAGCCGCAACGTCTCACAGCTCGAAGACATGCTGCAAATGGACGACGCGCTCATCCGCCAGGCCCTAGCCTTCTGGACCGGAAAATCCGTCCTCCGCTCCATTGCACCCGATACATACGCCGTCATCGAATCGCTCCCGAGTAAATCCGCGCTCGCAAACGCGGATTCCAGCGCTGCGGCCGCCGCGGAGGAATTCGCTGCTATCCAGGCTGCCACGACGACGGTCAAGTCCCAGGCCGATCTGCTGAATGAGAAGAAAGACGTGTACAAGGCGTTTATACTGGGCATGTTGACGAATCAGGGGAATATGCCGGTGCCGAGGATCCTGATGATGATGCGCATGATGGTGCAGGGGGGGTTCCCGTTTGGGGCGGAGGAGGTTAGGGAGGTACTTGCGGAGATGGAGGGGGGTGGGAAGGTTGTGGGGTTTGGGGGGGATGTTTGGGGGGTGAAGAAGTAGGATTTTTGGGTTCAATAAGAAGGCTAGGATTCTAGTCTTGAGGATTTATCTGTCCAGGCGCTTTTTGATTGACGTGCACATGCATTGATGGTCTCTCCGCGGTGTCTCTCCCGCCTACCGTATAGTCTCGGCCTCGTAGTTTCGTGGGCTTTCACGGTACTGTGGCGCTAAACGAGCTAAAGTTTTGCTTCAATGCTTATAACGTTTTTTTTTGGGGGGGGAGAGTTTCTTCAGAATAAAAAGATCGAGTCCCCTCTTCCACAATCGACCATACCACAATCCCTTATTCACCATCTGCCCTCTCTCTCAATCCTACGTGCGCGCTACAAAACTCGCGCATGGCATCAAATACGTCCGCCTATCGAATCTCCAGACGTTGCCATGTGGGCTGCACGTAGTTATGATACACACACGCGTTCACGCCAACTTTAGAGCAGGAGGTTTGGGGACTTTGGCGAGATGGCATGTGTGCGGAGCGAAGGAGGGGGAGCTTGCGTTGGGGTTTTATCCGGAGAGGGGGATTAGGGCTGGGACGGGGTGTTTGTGGGGGTGTGAGGGGGTAATTGGTCTTTTTCTATTCCTTTATATTTTAATGACTTTTGTTTATTCATTGTTTTTGAATTAAGCTGGTGTAGATGTTGAGAGGTTCGGAGCGACGCGACTCCGCTTCCTACTCTATCCTTATAAACATCAACACCAGAGAAACAGTATACCCAAAATCTCGCTGCCTCGCCACTCTACTGTATTCCTCCATGCTTCTTTTCGAATGGGAACCAGCAATTGTGTCCCCACTGAAAGGCCCTGCGCGCAGCAAGGATACACAAGATGTGGCTGAACAAATCCTTTGGCTTATCACCTCCTTTCACTTCGCTTCGCTTCATGAACGCCACACCACCTGCCATTCGGGGTTCCATCCCAATTTTATCTAGAGATCTAGGCAAACAATGTGTGCAGACGTTTATCGTTATTCTTGCGTTGACGTTTGTCATTAATTTCTACAATCTGGGCTACTACGCCTTTCTATGGCACATGCGCCTTGCTGTGGACATCTGCGAGCCTTCTGAGGTCGGCCCGTTTCGCGCTTAGGTATAGCTTGCCGCGTAGCGAAGACTACGCGAAAATGTTTGTTGTGGAGGAGCATAGCGGAGAGGTGGTTGTTATTGAAAAGGGAGCAAGTGGTATCAAACTGATGGAGAAAGGTTCTTTGTGGAATCGATTATGCTAATGAAAGGAAGACTTCTGCGACAACGAGGTATTGTGTACAAGGATTTCATCAACATCATCGATCACAAGCTGGTAGTCGTTTGTGATTTACCCGGGTGTTGGGCCAGTAGGAAGAACAGAAAAGCTGAGCCAACAACACGGTCTGGCAAAGGTTAGGTGTGGGGGCCGTGGAAGTTGGTTAAGCGGAATCAAGGGGTAGACGTACAGAATGGAAGGGCCGAACGGACCGTTCCTGAAAGGTATCCCACGCTAACGTAACGCCAAAACGTAGTACGACAATACCTGGTGAATCTCCAGCGAGGTCTAGGAGTCGGTTAATTGCCTGAAGTCAAGAAAGGTAAATCCTCCGTCTACTAGCGTTTCGGTTTCACCCTTATGCAGTCATCTGTACTGCGCCGCAACCCCGCATGAGCCAACCGCAGGGTCGTAAGATAACGTGGCTAGCATGTGTTAAAGGTGCGGGTTTGTACACTCTTGGGCGCTCATACGAAAAAGCATACCAGCAACATGTCGACAGAAGGGGTCACTGGAAAGCCCAAATTGAGTAGGAAGCAGCTCCAAGATCATGGTATTGAGTACATTGATGGGGTCTTCAATATTGACGAACTCGACCCGTGGCTTCGAGAAATATGTCTTACCATCACTCGATTACAGGAACATGTTCCGAAAGCCACAAGGAAGGCGTTCAAGAAAGAAATGGATCAATTCAGTCTCCATGGTCAGGATAGCGAGGATGCACTACAAGAAGGTTGGTGCCTGACGCCAGCCAAAAATCTCGACCATCTCCACCCAGAAAGCTACACCACCCCTGCAGCTGTAGGAGATCATCTGAAGCCTGAGAGTTGTGAGAAAGCTCTAAGAGCCGTGCGACAATGTCGCAAAAGGATTGAAGGTGAAGATAAGTGGGCACGGGTCCTTTGCAACCATGTCTTTTGGGACTTCCACGAGACTTATAGTGGCTCGAGTTCTTATGAGTAAGTTCAGAAGTAATCCGAAGACGTCACAATGCTAAAATTATTAGGCAAAAGCTTAACGGGTGGGAATTGTACTCCTCGCTTTTCTAACCATGTGCTCTGTTCTTACTAACATTTCTCCAGGCATCAAAACATCCGTCTGGAACGAATTCCTAAAATGGGCCAGACTGGAACCCCAGTATCGCACAACTCACACAACCAAAACCTGACCTCACATATGGCTTTCCTGTTATCGTGCCCGACAAAGATTCGTTTAGAGCTTCCGAGGGCAGAGAAGAAAGTGACAGTTTTTCCCTAACCATCCTCGAGCAGCTGCGAAACCGTGGTAAGGAAAGCCTTATCTCGACGCCAACAACAGCTTTGTACAATTGGGCATCGAAGAAGAACGCTAAGCTGCTCGAGGCCAAGGATCAGATGTGCTTCCCGTGGGCTGTCGTAGAGATCAAACGTGGCACAGCGTTTCATGAGCAACAAGCCGGGAAGGCTGAAGCGAGGGCCCACGAGAATAGAAAAAGATTCTGCTATTGTCAAGCGGCAAATGCTTCAGCCGCAGGACTTACTCTACGAGAAGATTTGGCTGCAAGAGCGAATGACACTTCGGAACTAGGTGACGCCCGGGTCATGTTCTCCTTCACTTGCGTTGGATCAGCGGTTAAGCTCTGGCTCACCTATCGCGAGAAGCCGGTATGTCCCCTAGTCTCGTCCATATGTGATTTAGCTAATGTACCAGCAAGGTCGAACGCAGCGACCAAAGGCACGAGAGCGGTGGTATAATCATGGTCTGCATCTGGGCGACATCGCTGGAAATCTCCTGGGGTATTATTGCGTTGCGCATGATTTTGTAAGAATGTGCAAGATTGGGCACATACTCGCGTCAAGCCCGAGATTCGGCGATGGATTCACGACGTGTATAAGAATCGGAACCGCAAATGTTCCCTCACACCCGATGGGGATGTAGTTACGCAAAGGAGAAGAGCGGCATCTTGTGGGCCGTCGAATGGAATTGTCGAGGTGGAGGAATCCGTGGAGAGAAGTTGCTATCGCACCCCACGACAGAAAAAGAGACCCGCTCTGCCACATGGAGAAACTGCACCAGAGCCTCGCGATAGGCGCCGTGACAAAGCCAACATCCCCCAGTTTCGATTGAACGGATTGTCGGAGCTCGATGGAGACGATAGTTCGGATGAGGGATATGCCAGCATCCACACTACGACTGAGGACGAAAGCGAAGAAGAAGAAGAGACCAAACGTTCGTCTGTATTCATTTGCAACGACGAACTGTACGAGGGCGATTCCGATGCATCGTACGTGCCACCAAGTTCGGAAGATGAGAACACGGGAAGCGAGAGCGACGGAAGTAGTGATGGAAGTGCCAACAGCGACGGAGACTCGAGCGACGAAGCAGAGTATAATCTTTCAGACGGAGAAAGTCACCGTAAATGGTTGAAACAACAGTCGCGTGCGATCTCAAGGCCAGAGGTTTACTGCACTCCGACAAAAGGATATAAGCTGAGCGTACCGGTAGATAACAAAGCGAGACGAGATAGGCGTCGTAGTTCGCGCTTTTAGATGGCTTTAATGGCGACAGATTGTAGATTCTCTTTCCTTGTAACAATATCAGTATCTCATATTTTTTCGAAAAATCTATCAGTCTTGCAGCGTGTTTGGTTTAAGCTCTATCTGCTCCTTCCACCTTTGTGGTACGGGTGAGATTAGCAGATTATTATTAACGATTACTGTGCGAAACAGCGTAACAAGCTACCTAAGTAATAAAATCGAACCCATGACTCAAAAGTATACTCTTCCACGCTTCAAACTAACCCTGGCAGCAACTACTAGAGTATGTCACTTGATCAAAAAGTTTGATGCTTCGGATGGTGGAGCCGTTAAAATGCTCTTCCTGAGGCGCTGTCGTAGTCCTATCAGTCAGGTCTGCTGCATCAACTCCGTAACCTATTTCTATGATTAGGATATTCGCAAGATCATCCACATAAGACCGTAGAGCGTTGAATACAAGGATACTTGTCCTTTCTGCCAGATTAACTAACGCTGCGTCGTTTCCAGTTTTCCAATCCGGGGACGGTTTTAGCGAATCTAGCTAAGCTCAGCCACTCTCACATCTACCTTATAGTTATTTCAATACTGTTTAAGGCTTACAGCAGAACACGACTTCGCGTTCTGTATCTCCGTAACATGCTCTGCAGGCGGGACACCGCTTCTTATCCAGCATCCCTGCAGATTGGTAATCAGTTGGGTTACTACTGGTGAATCCTCGCTGTTGAATTTTTTTGCCCTCGCGTGAGTGAGGCAGCGGAAAGTTAGGTTGTAATGCTAGGAACAGGGCAGTCACAACAAAATACGCTTACTCTGGGCAAAGGATATATCATTGTAGTAACGACATGTGCTTGTACGCGTCTATCTTGATACACCCACGATATGTCTGATGTGTATCATCATCGATTGGAGGACCTTGTGAGAGAAAGCATTCGATGAAAAGACGAAGAAAAAACCAGCAAGATTCAAACTTCGTATATCCCTGGAGCCGACCCTCCAGAACACAACTCCAGCGCAACCTTCTCAGCACCCGATCTCGATTCATCTCCAATTGCGCCCGCGCACATACAATGCTCCAGAGGTGTGTAGCTCGTATTCTTCCAGCAATGGCGGTGCTGAGCCGAAACCACGTGCCAAACGTTAATCGGCAAGATCACCCTGCAAGCACGTGCATCATTTGACAAACGCACCGGAAATACATGCCCACCAGGCTTCGGCCACCACTCCGCTTCCAAGAACGGAACTCCAGTTTGAGGGGTGTGATCATCCCACGGATCCCGGGCGATGTTATAATGTGCGCAGGATGTGTTTACGTTAACAATGAGATTGAACCACCCAGTGTGACTAGCACACAATGAAGTTAGAGAAATGCAAATAACGACCCAAGTCTCTTCCTTCAACCCATTCTGAAACTTCCATCGGACGATATGATTTTCAAGCCAGAATTTGCCTTGTTCGACCGTGCAGCGCGAGATGTGGGAGACAGGATAGTAACCGAACCCTGGGCGCTGGAAGCAGCCCCAGAAGATGTTGGACAATCTCCAAGCTTCGTCATCCTCCTGAATCTTTTGCTTGTTTTGATCCATGACGGTTTGTAGCGGTGTGTCCTCGCACCAGAGCACAGGTAGAGTCACACTAGCGCAGCGATATTCTCCGGCTGGTGTAAACTCGCGCGGACAAGGCTTCGACAAGGCTTTCAAATTGAGCGCGCGATGAACATATTCTGTAGAGCACAGACAAAAACCGTGATTGCGCGAGTTTAAAATTTTCCAAGCTAACAATGCGTCAGGGGCTGTGTAGTCGACGTCGACATAGATGCCGTCCCGACATAGTGCTAACAGCGAGAACACGCGATCGCGAGGAATTTGGCACTCTTTATCCAGTGATCTACTGAGGAGCTGAAAGAGAGGTGTTTCGCGTGGGATGGCTCGCAAATAAGTGAAGAGTTTCTTAAACTCGGTCCACGGCTCGATACCTTCGGTGTTTGTATGGCTAGGTAGTTGATCTGAATCCAGAATTGTTTGACAGGCCATGAACGAGATTCTGCGTGCCAGAGCTATCTCTTGTGTAATCCAGGCCCTCTTCCAGTACGGTGACATACAAAACGCGACTAGACCTCCAACATAGTTATATCTCCTTGCTTGCGCAAAGTGAAGAAAAAGAGATATTGTGCCATCACTGCCGAACCAGGAAACGACTCTGCTTGCGCGCGAATATATTTGTCCCATTCTTTTTACTTGATGCTCGCGCTCCTCGATGTTCTCTTGGTCAATACAGAGCGCATCGATCCAGATCCAGTTTGACCGTATGTCAACCAGTGACCGTGCAGAAGTGAGGAAGTGGAATAGATTCTGTCGGGACCAGAACTTTTTCCCATTCAGCAGGATCCATTCTCCCGGTTCGCGATCACCCCAGACATACGATAGACAAATGTAGTCGCTACTGGTCGAGGCGATACGTATGTCACATTCGACCGGGCTCTCTGCACCCTTAGGTGGACGTACCTTTACGAGCCGTATCTTGGAACCATGATACTCGAGTAGATCGTGTTTGAAGATTTCGAGCTGCTCTAAGGATTCGTTGTTTGGCCTGGCTTGATTGTCCTCCTGTGCGGGGAGAACACCCGATGCATTTCCGACTCCTCCTACGCTGTCTTCCGGTTCCGGTTTGGCCTGTGGGGCTTTCGGAATCATCTGGGGTACGTCTATTATCAAGAGGTGAGCATGAAGACGAAGTTTAGATGGCAAGAGCGTGAAGTTGGGTGGAAGGCACACCCCGCTTGTGCGGGTGGCAGGTGCAGGGGTTTTGAGGCAGTGCATCCAAAGTTCAAACAACATAATTTTGACCTACCTTTCACTCATTCCCTATACGACTATAGTACACTAAGAACTAGAACACTTTCCGCTCTAATATTAGGTCTCGATGATCTTAGGCAGACATGTAACTAGTATGGGATCGATCAATGAGGCAGCTCAAACTTCGAAGAATGTGTGATCAATCTAGTCCCTCGATCGCGCTGTTGTGGCGATGTATTCAGTATCTATGCCACGTTCCTAAGCGTCGAATCTCTTCCTGTATTAGCAGTCTTTGATGCTATTCAGATTCTATGAGCTTTCGGCATTGTAGAAATATTCTTTGAAGTAGACTTAGAAAGTGGCCGAGCTTAGAGAGGGATGCGTTGATACTTCTTGGCTCGCCTCCACTACAAGTAGGTCATCGCCACAGCAGCAGTCCGTTAGTTCAAGGTTGTCTCTAGAAGACTGCGGTACGGTACACAGCTGCGCACTGCTTGATATCACAATCGCTGCGCTGACTAAAAGAGCAGATCGTCATTTCGTAGATTTCGTTACGGTGTTCGCGGGGCAGCTCGTGTGGTGGGCAGCTTTCGCGACACTTCGACTGTAAGAGGAGGTACACAAATCAGAAAGTCGGCCTTTCTCCTTCTCACTCTCCTCAACCCAGGCCTTGGATCACTCGAAGATGTCTAGCAAACAGTAGACTTTGTCGCATCTCAACTGTTCGTTGTGTGTGACGCCCTAGCTCCTTCTCATCCTCTCTTCGATATTGAACTCCCTGAGGTTCGATTGAGCATAAGCATCCTGATATGCTAACGTGCGTAGGTAGCTTAGCGCTACAAGCTGTGTCGCGATAGTCGGGAAATCGACGTGATGCCCAGTCAATGACGCTGCACTGCCACCGCCACTGCCGCTATATGTAAAGTGCTGACGTGGCTCGCCAAGCTGCCAAAATCCGTAATTGGTGATTTTACCTTTACTGCTTAAAGGAAGCGGTAACCGCATACAGAAGAATTATGGCACTTTGTGGCGATCGTTCACGTGAAAACAAGGCTTCCCGTCCGCTCAGCTATATTTAAGCAACGCACTAGCAGATTACAATAGATACGTTTTTAGTGTTTAGCGCGCATTACGCGACTCTGCGCATTACGCGCACAGGCACGTTACCGGTATTCGTGTAACCGAGCATTAGTGGCGCGCGACAACAAGAACGTACGAGCGAGATACCAGCTTCAAAGAACTTGACACAATCGTTGGCACAAATCAGCAGAAGTTTACAGATAAAGTGCGACGATTACAACATCAAGGTAGAATTTGGAATCGTTCGTTTGCTGCTCGGCACTTCATTACATCTTCGCCGTAATCTGTTCCAGTCTCACTCCAGCATAGCATTCCTGCAGCCCTCGCGGTCAAAGTTATCGGGCCATCCGTAGCGAAGCATAAGCTCGCGTAATTCCTAGAAGAAATTTAGTCTATCTCAGGTTTGTTGTGAGGTCGGACTTATCCGAACCTTATATTCTGCGTCCGAACTCTCGATATGCAAACGCGGTTCAGTTCCGCTCGCCTGGCCAATGATGCGCAGATGGAAGTAATCATTCTTCCACAGGTTCAATATGTCACCGAGGCGCGCAGTACTGCCTGGATTTTCACACTCATTGCGCCATGCTCGGGGATCGTCGGGTCCATAGACTGGATCGTACAGCCATTGCGCTGAATAGCTCATCGCTGTGCCTATTGTACATGGAAATGTTAGACAACAACACGCAAAGGCTGCTTCTTCCGCAATGCTCTGCATACCATCTGTAGTGTCTAGCATAATGTACTGGCCGTGCACTTTCCCATACGTAAGGGGGACGACCCATTCAGGGAACTTGAAATCTCGTGCTGACGTATCGGGTATCTCCCAGCATCCGATTTCAGGATGCACGATTTGGAAATAATCGCGCCGGTAATCGCACGGGTAGGTAGACCAGACTAGCTTGTAATCATGGCATGGGCCGTCCATGCGAATGTATGGTAAGTGTTTGAGCAGTTCAATTACTGCTTCATTCTTTTGAAACGGGGCGAAGTTTTCGGTATTGATGTTTGGCCAGCCTTGTTTTGGCGGCTCCAAGACATCGTCGGGTTGCAACCAGGGGAGTTTCGTGAGGAATTCATAGAAGTTCTTTAGCGCCGTGATCACTTCAGTCTGCAACTCGGGGTCAAGCGACACTCGACGGGGTTGAGATGTCGACATTATGCTGTTGGGTGTTGGGAGGGCGCATCTGTAAGCAGAGTGGGGTGTGTCAGATTTAAGCACCTTTTCTTCCGGCGCTTATGCTCAACAAGCTTTTCTTGCCAGCGTTCAAGGCCCTTGTCAGGGAGCCAAAATTACAGGCATCAGTAGATTTAGTTGGACTGGCGTGATTGCTCTGGGTTGCAATCTCTGGACGAAAATGAAGATGATTCATGCAGTCGGCTTTGGTGAAAGGCTAGCGTTATATGAGTACAGGTACTGGTTACTTGGTCACGAGAATAACTATAGAGCATTGAGGCAAGAGACAGATAATGATATCTTTGAGTTTCAGATGCGTGGGGGAAGAAGAGAGCTTACAATGGTAGTGATGCCAATCTGCAGAATATATACAGTGTAGACCATTGCTATACAAAGCTCTGAGTCCGTCGTGGGAGCTTGGCGTCACCTGCGCTATCTTGTGGCAACGGCATAACCTCAGTAGGCTGCAAAGTCTCTAACGCTAACGTTGTAGAGGTCAGGAGGGAATCCACTACTTCATCCCCATCGCAATCGCCACCAGAGCATTCCGAAAAGTTCAGCCTGTGCTGTATCTCCTCATACTCTTCTTCGGTGATTCTGCGGCTCGAATTGATTCCAATTGAAACGATATCGTCCGGTCGAAGCCAGTGGCGTTTGGCATTAGAGGGCGGATCAGCCATATACTGGTTATTGGACACGCCTTGCTCGTCTACAGGCCCTCCAGCAAACCACGGGTCGCTATTAAGCAACGCGTAGCCTTGATATCGGTTGTGATTACCAGCACCTACTGGGTAGCAATCGTTCGCTCCGATACCGTCATCTCCTCCCGGATCCGCCACGACAGGGTTGATGCGGTATACGCTTCGAGTGTATGCTGCAGTCCAGTCGGTGTAATAGGTTGTCGTCCTCCCGGCTACGATCGAGTGCGTGCTTGAGCCGAGGTCACGTCGGATGGCGATTGCCCTGCATTGCCACTTGGCACCAACCGCGCCATTCTGGGTACCGTCGAGATAACGTATCCATTGCGGTCTGTTGATTACACGATGGTTGAACGCTGGGTCAATGGCTCTGTCATAGCCATCAACCTCGTGATATAAGGCGTATGGTGGCCACTCGTCAGCTTCGCAGCCCCTCAGGGCCCCTGGCTGTCGATTAGGTATCAATCCTCCATCAGACCTTGCAAGGCGCCATTTGACCTTCCTAACTGGATTTTTCAGTGCTGACGGATGCTGACCCTCCCAAGCGACCTTGGCCTGAAGATCACCTTGCCTTCCGGCTCCAGCTTTCAGATATGGGCAGGTATTGATGTCGTAGCTCATGCCTGGATGATGTCGAATAAGGGAACTATAATGCAGACATGGTTGTGAATTTTTCACACAGTCCAAGTCTACCAGCCTGGGAGCTACTACTGCATCCTGAACAGTCACTGTCCTAGTGATGTGTACATCGTCTACGCGACATTGACGCTTTGGACGCGGCTCATCTGCTCTAGGTGCAGCTTTGGACGAACAGCTGGTCCAGCTGCTACTGCTTGTTTTGGCGGACGTGTGCTTGGATTCGGGAGCCCGCGTCTCGCTTGGCTTATCGCTGTTCAGCTGAATCGAAATTAGCTCAAGTTGTCAGATATCACCTGAAATGTGTTGATACTTACGGATAGGGTATGTTTCTTGCCAAAGACCTTGAATTCGGCCTTGCCCTCCTTCTCCACACCCTTCACACACAGCTGGATCAAGGCCGGCGTAGCTGCGATCTCGGCAATATCGAGAATTTCTCCAATTATGGGAATTAGATCTTCTGCCAGTTCAAGTGGCAATAGTAGGGCGGGCACAGCAATTCGACAGAAAGCCTTCGCAGCAACGTCGAGCGCTGCTTGCTCGGCGGCTGCTACGGCGGCTGCTTTGGCGGCATCGGCGGCCAATTTACCCAGGTCTCCAAAGTTGAGGGCTGGTTTGAACCCTTTGCAGCAAAAGCTCTGGAGACCTCCAGCGCAGTCTTGGTCTTTCTTCTTGACATGGTTGTTGGTATCTTTGACTACTTCGGTTTCACCATCGGCACAGCCGCCCATGCACGAAAGGCCGACACCGCGATACCCTCTCCTAATCAAACATCAGCGTTACATATTCATCAACATTTTTGAAGAGTCCTCACCATTGACATTTTCCCATGGTAGTACCGCTTGCGCAGCAAAGGTTGCGATACTGCCCCTTCGCACAGCGGTCATTTGTTGACAACTGGCCCGGTTGACCGTTCATCTGCGCGACTTGATTCGTGCTCTTCATGCAAGCCACATTGCAGTCAGTGGTATAGCACGAGATTCCGGCTGCCAAATCTCCGCTCTTTTGTTTCGCATCTTCTTGGTCTGCAGTCGTCACACCAGACGCGGGCGCGAGACCGTTGTCTGCTTTTTGATCAACCTGATCCATAGCCCACACCATCGTACCTCCAAGACAGCGTTTATTGGAGAAATCGCGCTTTTGCTGAAAGGTGTCGTCGTCGTCATAGCTGACCCATTGATTACTATCCCACGTGATCCACTTGACGCCAGCTACCTTGTCCCAGGTTGGATTGAGATTATTCTTGGAGACAATATCCTTGATTTCTTGGAGGCTGAAGATGTGCTTAGCATGACTCTGCGAGAAAGTATATTTCGAAAAACTCACTCCAATATGCCCGCTGCATTTGAACACGGTCCTGGATTAGCACCGCCACTGAATTGGCAGACCCCATTCGGGAGGTTGCAGGAGGAGTCTTTGAGTGTGAAGCTCCGCCCGTACTATTCTGTGTAAGCTCTACAGTCACAGTTGCAAAAAACAAGATGTACTTACCCAGCCCTGGCCAAGCACGACATTCTTGGGATCCACACCAGCTCGCCATAGCAGGTCCAAGCCAAGGTCAATTTCGGTGATGTTGGTATGTGGTGCAATATAAGGACCGATTGCTTTAGACTGAGCGTCCCAGATACCGTGTACTTGAACAGGAGACATGCATTAGTTGGCATAAGCTTGATGCAATGTTGCGAAACTTACAGTCATAGCTCATTAGATTGAACCAGTCGACATTGGGCTGCAGACCAGCAAGGTCAAAGTGCTGTAGATACCAATACGAAGTGGGAAGAGTGACCGTAATACCGTACTTCGATCCAAAAGCAGAGCGCATCTGTTTCACGAGTGCGACGTAATTGTCTCTATCAACTTCAGCACCACCGCGGTCATCGGCTTGGGGGTACTCCCAGTCAAGATCTACGCCGTCGAATCCATACTCATTCATAAAGCTCATTAATCCGCTGATGAACTTGCCGCGATTTTGACTGGAGCCAGCCATAGTGCTGAATGCTGTTCTTGTGGGACCAGGATCTGTGAAAGACCAGCCGCCCACGGATATGTATGTTTTCAAACCTTGATTGGTGCTCTTCAGACCAGTGAAGCGATTGTACAGCGCCCCAGTTTTGCCGTCCATTGGAGCGATCTGGAATGATGATGGATCAAAAAAGGCAAAAGCAAAATTGATGTGCGTAAAACCGTTGAGGTTGAGATCTTCTGGTGCGACGCTGGAGCATTTGCGCGTGTTGGACCACGACTCATAGTAGCCGACTGTTCGCTTGTTCGCACTGGTACCACCTCCGCATGAAGGTCGTTTGGCTGGTCCACAACCACCGAAGCCTTGTTGGCAACCAGAATTCACAGCACAGAAGTCGTCAGTTGAACCGCAAAACCTGACGGCACGATTAATGAAGATCCGCGCGCGAGCCAGTGTATCAGTACATACCCAAACTTGGAGCAACACACGCCCAAAGGACAGTTCTGCTTCCCAGGCACTCCATACTGACCGCACTCGGCTTTTGAGGTACATTTTGAGGTACAGTTTCCTTGGCCGCATTCGGAAGGCGAGTAGCCACACAAGCCGTTTGTGCCGCAGCATGCAGTGATGGGGCATTCTGTTTGTGCATTGCAGGTGCCTGTAGGAAGACTATTACCATCGCGCGTTTGGAGAAGTCTTGGCTCGGATAGCAAGTGCGCAGGCTGGCTGTATGCTTTTCCACCAAAATTGAAGGGTGTCGCGAAAGTCAAAGTTGCTGAAAGAAAGACACCGAACGTCAAAATCGCAGCAATCGAGGCAACGTAATCTCTCATCTTGATGAAATGGTAGACGGTGCAACAATCAAGATGAAGAGAAACTCCGAATTTAGAGGAAGTAGATAGCGCTCCCAATGCCCTGCACAGGTCGTCGAGTGAGGAGCTTGCCTCAGGTGACAATTTCCGTTGATGCAGTAAGCTTTTTCGGAACAACAAGCTTTCCTGGGTAAATGGGTTTACATGTGCCCGTAAGCTTCTCTGGGGCAACAAGCTTCCTTGGGAACAGGCAAAGCGAAGGCTTTTACCAGATGGTCTACATAGCCAATCACACGGAGTGTCATGCCTCAATCATATCCGCGATATATTGCTCACGTCAGCCCACAAGGCCACGCTTGACCACACCACAGTATGCAGCAGCCTATTCAGGCTAGCCTTCAGCTGATGTTGAGTAGGTGGTGGCGGCTTACACGAGTATCCGGTGACAGTCCTGAAAGGGACGTGGATGCTCATTTGTATCGATCTGATATGTCAGGCCTATGGATATGCCCGGCTGATTGGACTATCGAGAGCGACGAAATCGCTTGAACACCACAACTCTCCGCCTTCTTGCTCTCAGAGCATTAGAAGTTTGTCTGATCCACGAATATTCTCTTCCAGCAATTTCACCATGCTTTTGTATATCTGGCTTGGCTTAGTAACATTAATAAAACTCGGGGAATCGCAATTCAGCCTCTATCCTGCGTTCGTTGACCCAGTGAAGCTAAGCAAGGCGTACGGTGTCACGACTGAATGCATTCAAGGCCTGTCCGTATTCAACTACTCTGCGGTCCATACTCTTACTGATCTGGTTTCCAGAAACCAAACACTGGCAGAATGTGATCCGGACCTTTTTGGCATGGTGGTGAATTATGACATGTTCTGGTGGGAGCAAGACAATATCACCGATTTGTGCCTCGGCAACTGTTCTGTAGCCGCAGCGTTATGGTACAACGACGTTGTATCTGCATGCAAAGGGCAATGGTTAAATTCCTATGGGAAATGGATACCGGCCGATTCGGTCGCTGGTCGCTACGTGGATGGCATCAAAACCGCTTGTTTATATTCAAACTCGTAAGCACATTGAACATCATGTAGGCAGAATTCTGACGAGATTATTCCCAGACTAGGTGATGATACCGCATGGTGCTTGGTAGAATCGCAGGAGTGGGTTGGATCAGACGTGTATCAAGTGGATTGCGACGCAAATCCATCTGATCCGTCGTGCACTGGTGGCGGAACAGGCATCGATCCTAGCAGCGAACGGATGGCCAATTTGTACTCCAATAATGTCGTAAGTTGTCGAAGCGCGGTCATCCAAGGTTCAATTTGTACTGACGACCAACGTGCAGTTATGCAACGATTGCTTCGTGCAAATGCTTTACACCAAAGTTACGTCGGAGTTCCTAGCAGACACTGATCACGCCGACTATCTCGTGGGTCAGTTGCAGGACATTGCGGACGTTTGTAATACCTCGATCCCCGCCATCACCACTCGTGCAACCATCTCATGGGATTCCGCACCTGCTCCGACACCAAACAGCGCGACGACGACACCACCTCCAGCTACCACGACTTGTGCTGCTGGACAGGGCCAGACATTGAGCTCCGGTACTGGGTGCGACGCCTTATCTCAGAAGTACGGCATTTCAACAGGGGATTTGGAGGCGATCTCCGGTAGCGATGTTTGTAGTATCTCGACCGCATCCTGTTTTCCTTTAGCTTGCTCGCTGCAGCAGATTGGAACTGGCGCCACTTGGTATGTTCGTTATGCTAATTGCGACTTGACTACGCTTGCTAACGTGTCGCAGTGAGACAATGGCGAGCAGCCTTAACATCACCACTGTGCAATTCCAAAGTTGGAACCCCAATATCATAGGACTGTGTGACGGGCTGCAAGCCGGGCAGTACGTGTGCAAGTCAGCTCCAGGCGTGACTGGAACGTATACACTAGCTCCACCACCACTGGGGACAGACGCTGATGCAGGTAACCAGCAACGTGGAGGCTCTGGTGAGTATCTTCCTGTCGAGTACCGGGACAGGCATTGACGAGATGTAGGAGGAGTAGTGACTCCAACAACAACCATTCCACCTGGGCCGACAACGCCGGTAGCAGCGCCAGGTCCAACACTGTCAGGTGTCTCGAAAATATGCAATGCCTGGCAGACGCCTGGCCAAGGACTTGGTTGCGTTGACTTCGCCCTTCTGAACGGCCTCGGATCTGAAAAACTGTACGAGTGGAATCCAATTCTTGGCCCTAATGGTGAGAATTGCACGACCATGTTTCAGTTTAAAGTGTACTACTGTGTTGGCGTCGTGATCGGCAGTTCAGGCAGCGGACAAACAACACCACCGTCTAGCCCGACCATCACCAGTGTTGTCGGAGCTCCTGGACCGACTCAAAGTGGCATCATTTCTTCATGCAACAAATACGCGTTGCCCGCAAACTTGCAGGGCTGCTACGACTTTGCATCGGCGAACGGTATTACACCCACACAGCTGTACTCGTGGAACGCGGTACTCGGATCCAACGGTGAAAATTGCGGAAGCGCGTTCCAAGCGGGCGAATACTACTGTGTCGGTATTCAGACACCTTCGAGTACAAAACCAGTGTCTGCACCAGGACCGACGCAAAGCGGCATCGTGGCTTCATGTACAAAATTCGCGAAGCCACCTGCTGGAACTGGGTGCTATGATTTTGCGACGCAGAATGGAATTACACCTACGCAACTTTATCAGTGGAATAAGATTCTTGGGCAGAACGGAGAAAACTGTGGAACAGAGTTCTTTGGAGATGATTACTATTGTATTGCGGCTTGATGGTAGAGAGGTAGAAACTGAAGAGAAAGCTAGACTCGATATCACGTACGTCATGCTTGAAATTCTTTGCCGTGCAATGTTCATATCCTTTCGTGTATTGGTGCGGTAGCTGTTTTTGAGAAGACTGATGCGACGCATGCGACGTTATCTAGAATTTATACTTGATTGACTACTAAGATTACGTTATTTATATTGGAAGCACTTATGAGTTATGGATATGTTTGCTCTGAATAGCCTCGATTCAAGATTTGAGAGTACTGAGGTTAGCTGCATTAAGGAATTGGGTCTAGAGATGTTGTAAGGGGAAAGAATATTGCATAGCAGCGTTGTTGGTGAAAGTGTTGTGTTAGGCTTCTTATGACTGAGCACAGCTTCTACATGTTCTATGGTCGCATAGTGTTAGCTCAGCCTTTACTCAACATACAATTCTTAGGCAAATTATTCTTGTCTATTCGAATCTTCAGAAAGAGAAATGCCCTTGTCCAGCTCACTATTCATGGCTCTTTCTTCCCGGCGCCGATGCACAAGTTTCTTCCAACGACTAACAGCAAAGATCACAGCCACCGATGGATTGATTGTGTTGTGCTGCACGCGGGTAATTCCATGCCAATTTATGCCTCGTATCCCAAGCAATGGCCTGCCTCCGACAGCTTTCGTAAGCTTTGTAGCCAGGTATTTGATCTGATCCCGGTTCAGAGTCGAATCACGGAGGTCGAAGCTTAGAGTGAGGCGACCTTTTGATTTGCGCAATGCATTCTCGCTGGTCTTTTCCTTTTCATTAAATAAGGGCGCAAGGAATATGGACTGGTCATTTACTGATTTGAACCAAAGGTGTGCTGGCGAATGGGCTCTATGCTCAGACAAATTGATATCTTGGGTAAGCCGAAATGTCGAAAAAGGCCTGTCGCCATATTTATCCAAGGATTCGCGTAGCTTATCGATTAGTGCTCTAGTAAAGGAATAGATACCAGGCGGTGCGGTCGTCTGGTCGATTGAGGCAGCACTGAGCAGTTCGAACTTCCTCGAAATTCCACTACCGCTTAACCCACGTTCAACCAAATTACTGGCGTAACAGGTGTCGAGAATCACGAGAGTATCGGCTTCATGTTCCTCCGCTCTCAACATTTCTTCTACTCGATCCCAGCGTGCATGTGTGCTCTTGCTGAAATTCGATACAGAGTTCGTGGATGCTGTCAATTGAAGATAATTTTCCAAATCACTCCAGATACCGCGTGCTGTATAATACAAGATGATCAGGGTGTCGGGTGCATCAAATTCTAGGAGAAAATTGGATATCCCAAGATTCAGCTGGCTTGACGGCTTTTTTTTCAAGTTCAATTCGAGTATTTCGGTCTTGAAATGAAAGGTTTCGCGGAAGGTGGCTTCAAGCTCATCAACCTGAGGGCACGTCAGTCTTATCACATGACGTGACGAAGATCTTGCATATCGATTCGATGGGTCTGTTGTTACTCAGTCCTGCACGGCATCACTTACATCAGCACGCGTGTTAAGCTCACCGATCTCATCCGCCCACTTCACAAGCAAGACAGCGACTCGAGAATATCCATTTCGTGCAGTCGCTTCGTCCCAACAATTTTGCATATCCTGGATGTCAGACAAACGCTTGGGGATTCCATCTGTCGACTGAGTGGAGGTCTATGACTCGCTTAACTCGTATGTCTGCATGAACGACTCGGTCCTCCAGTGCTTCAATAGGACGCACTTCTTTCTCGCTGGGCAAAGGTTGCCGTGGTTTTTTGCTAAAGCCATCGTGGTCTGTTCCTTGGAAAGCTACGGTGGCTGATCTCTTGAGTGGCATTAAGTCCATTTCTAAGTTCTGCATGATGATCTTATCCACATTGTCTTCAATCCGCTGAGCTGTGACCTGGGCAAGTATAGCGTTTAGCTCCGTCGGATCCTCTCGATTCTTTTTCAGCTCCTCATGGAAGCGTCTGAAAGCCTTTGTGAGGCCCTCTCCGTACAGAAGTGACATGTGTACATTGAACAGTCCCAGGAGAGAATAAAACTTTTCTTCCTCTCGTGTTGTCTGGCGACTCTTTGCCCATCCTAAACGAATATCAACTGGCACTTGATACATAGTGTAGACATTGCCGTGAAGTACGTCGGACGAGATCTGGGTAGCTTCACTGATGTCTTCCCAGAGGGAATGTTTGTCTCCGAGTGGCGCACCCTCATAAGTGAAGAAGTTTACTGAGGTTGGAGCTAAAATTTCTACGGTGCGGCAGGTACGAATCAGTAACGTCTCCTATAGAATTCGCGACTCGGCAACTTACCTTGGAGAGTCCAACCCCTAGTGAACCATCTACTTCGTCGGAATACAGACCTCCAGCCATATCCAGTGAGGTTCGCTTCTAGCGCTTGGAGAGAGACGTCTTGCAAGAACACGTAGCATCTGGCCGAATCTTTGTACCACTTGAACATGGAGTTAATCGCTTCTTGCAGCTCTGCGCTGCTTGATTTGTCGATGCAGCAGGTATCGATCCAGAAGTAATCAAGCTTGTCTTTGGTAGCCTGTTATGCACAAAAGCGCAGCTTCTCGTAACCGCGCTTCTTTTGGCCCTTGCCCTTCTTAACATCCTTGAAAGTAACTTCCTCATGAGCCGCGAGCCATGTGTGCGAAAGAATACCATAGGCCGGGATCTGCTTGCCGTACTTTTCGACCAGGCTGAACCCGCCTAAGGCGTCAACTTGTAAGAGATGCATCGAGAGCGGGTCTGAGCATAATAGATGGGCGCGAAGCAAGATTTTTAGCGGCGTACCGCAGGTCAGAGCGCGATTTTGTTATAACCAGCGACGATGCGTAACAAACGGAGGGCGGGACAAGAAGCGAAAAGACACTCGCTTGGTGACCAGTGACACGTGGCTGCTGACGTGCAGTAGGAATCCTGGTCCCAAGGTTCACAGGCGAGACATAACGTAGTCGTCTCCGAACTTATTCATACAAGGCAGAACTCTCGTCGACTCGTTCTTGCCATCCTTATGCTCTCCATAAGCTCCCCATGCATGATGTTATCCATATGAGCCTGGCCCATGAACAAATACTTCTGGCCTCTCGGTCGCAGTACATATGGTGTATTGCCTCCGAAAACTACAATATCGCTAGCTCGCATACACTGCGGACCAAGCCAAAAGATCGGCTGTTTTTCCAAAACATGCGCCTCAGCGAGTAAGTATCGGAAACGTGCGCCTCGAATCGCACTTAGTTTACCGTTTACAGATATCGAAGTAGAGTGCCTATGCGATGCAGCTTCATTATCCGTATCATGGCATGTTCAAAAGCGGCGTAGAACTTGCCTTGGGCTGAATCATCCAGCTCTTTGATGTATATCGGATCCAAAATCTCTGTGATACCTGCTGCTATAGTGCGAGCCAGCGTGCGTATCGATTCCTGCTCATTCTCCTGTATGCGTTCTGAAATTCTCGGTCAAAGACTGAGACCCTTGAGTGGCGTTCGTGTTTGGGGGAGAGGTGCGCTTCATTCCAAGCAGACTACTACAATTCATTATCACTTCGACGTCGCGCACCACTTCGTGAATGACACCATTCAGGCGCATATGCTCGGAGGTTCAATGCTCATCTTCAGTGCTGGGGACTGGAAGATTGTCGCAAGGATGCCATCGACACTCATCTTCCTGTAGCCCGGGGAGTCTCGTAACGTTCATGTCATCCCATCTTGGTGCCCAAGATCTGTATTCGCCTTATCCATCGTAACTCTCAGGCGCGATTACAGGTCTATGTCAGTAAGGACTGTTTCTGCAAACACTTGAGCGACGCTCAGGTTGTAATCCATCCTCAGCACGTCTACTTCAGATCTAGGCGAAATAGGTTTAAGCAAGCCGTGCACCTTATCTCTTGGATTTGTCGATCTAAATTCTCGAAAACTCTGCAGTACAGTAAAGAATGGGGTTCCGTCTTCATCGGGCATGATGTCTGCACACTTGACCTTGACCTTGACAAATAGCGATACCACCGGGTCGTTTTGGTCCAAGGGAACTGTCTTATCGAAGATCCACGACGCTGTCAGGCTCAGATCTGGCCAAATAGTGTTGGAATCGCCCCAGAGAACGACCGCATCCTGTGCCAATCGGATCTCTTGGACACACTAAATTCGAGTGAACTAGGGTCTGCCAAACAACACTCTGAAGCTGTCACATACGAGATCTGGGAACACCTCCTGCGGGAGTCTTAGTGCCACGTGCCTTTCGTTATCGTCCAGATCACAGATATATATAACGCAGGAGAGTAATGATAAAAGAGTATAGAATAGGTTATATCCTCAAGATCTTTTTATAGTAGTAGATATCAAGTAAAATTCAACAACTATTCGTTGGTAGTATTATCTGCATCTAGTGGCATTTATAATACTAGAATAGTTATCCCAAAATATATATTAAGTAATCAAACGCATACTCATACAAGACAGAATGTAGTTGCCTTCTTCAATACAGCGCACACTCTGCGTCTTGGGGGGTCCCACGTTACTATCTTGTCTTCACAGTCAGGATCTTCCCAGCTACGCAGTTTATACGTCTTGTCTATAACAGCATCGTCGAAAGTCGAAACCCTCGAATCTGCCCATAACCCGATGAACCCTGAACTTCGTTCCCCCACAGCACCGCAGGATGAACGGTAGCTCGGACCCGTACATGACACATACGGCATCACCGACATTTACATCTTCTGGTACCAGGGCTATGTATTTGTTCGCTGTGATGGCAAGCCTCCGATTCGAAAGGAATAAGCTTGCTGGCGGGAGCCGATCAAGACACGATTCTGATCCATGCTGGACATTGGCGGTACTCCTCAGGACATCTAGAAGTGGCTCGTCTTCTTTAAGCTGATGGACTCTGATCTCTATTGCGATTGCATCAACGGCCTTTGTCAATGATGCAAGGAGATCATCGAAGCATTCAAGCCCAGCTTCATCGCTGCCATTAACTTCTTCTTGGTACAAGATTTTCTTGAACACCGTCCACGTCTCTTCGAGTGTGGGACGTGGCTTATGACTTTCAAATAGCTGCACACATTGCTCAATCCACTGGATTAATCGTACCATGTAGTCTCTGACGGCAAACATCTCTCCGATCCCGGGCTCCAGTGTGAGGTCGATGGCTGGTGGATGGACGTGAGTGGAAAGAGCAGTAATCTTATCGAACTCGAGTCCTTTTATTGTCAAGGCGTCGTCTGGTCCAAAGGAAAATACAGCTGAACAACGTTCAGTGATGCGGTTACTGATCATCATTCTTGTACGATCAAGTTTAGCATCGCTAAAGTCGTCTTGTTTTATAGGGCGCCACACTTCTGGACTTTCTAAATTTCGTCCCCGCTGCTCGTGGTCGAACGGTACATGATAAGTACGCGGAGGTGAACTATCGCCCCAGTTCGGTACCCAGGACGGAAGCTGAGTCGAACGAGCAGTTCTATTGTCGACAAATTTCAAGACTTCGATAGACCGTGTCTTATGGATAATAGCTCTGGTAACATTGATGAAGACTCGCGCGGGCGACACGGCGTAATCCACTTTAAAAGGTACCCACACCAATGGCTGGTACGTAATCTGATGGCGTCGGACTCGTCGATGGTGTTTCTTTTCCTCATACCAGCCCAAATTCGAAGCATCCTTTGCAAGACCCAGTATGCCATAGATCTTGTCCTGCGGATTCGTAGCCTCGGCCCATCGTGTCTGCGAAAGATAATCCAGAAGATTACCTCTGAAATCCGTCAACGTCAATGGACTTATCGACCTAGTCCGAGCTTGCACCATGAAGTCAAGCTGTTGTAAAGCGGTCCTCTTCGTACCATTTGCCAACTCCGTCTTTTTCGCATGGAACGACATTATTCTCGGAAGTGCTTCTGTCTCAAGCATAGAATTGATGATTGCCAGGAAGGTATTCGCTTCAAGAAAGTCTGCGCCGCAGACGAACAGAGCGTGCCGGGCGCAAAGTATTTCTTGGATGATCCATACGCGGCGGAACCATGGCCTATACAGAAGCTCGCATATGGCTGTCCACCCTGAACGTGCCTGGTCGGTATAGAAATGTGCAGCTGGGATTTTGTTGTCCCATCCGATGTGCTGAGTCATTTTGTAGAGCTCTTCAAAGGCCTGCCTGGTCAGTTCGTTACTCTCCCCTAGCCAGATATAAACCATGCTTGCTCCTTGATATACTTCAGCCATTTGGCTGACTTGAATTGATCGTTCCGTCGTATTGGTTTGATTGATGCAGAGGGCATCTACCCAAACTCTTGGTACCTTACCCTTGCGAAGGTGTAATAACGCCATATAAAGATTGTCTGTAATCATTGTAACGGCTCCGTTGACCAGTATGGGGATCGAGGGGGTTGCTGAACCCCAGGTGTATGAGAGAGCCACATAATCTGCGTTCTCTTGCAAATCCACATACATAAATGCACACTCAATTGTGCTCAACGAATGACCTGGATTGATCTGCAGTAATCGGATTTGTCCTTTGGGAAGATCCCGCGTATACATATTGGATGTTGGCGCGAGAGTCCTTTTGAGATATATTGCTACTGTCGCGTCAGCCATTTGCAAGGCCGGAGTATGTTCAATCCCTCTAATGAAATTGGGACCCACCTTTGAGAGCCCTCAGCCGTTTTGACCTGATCCATAACTTGGCCAAAATATTGACGCCTGTCTTACGCACTAGATGTCTCTTGCGATCCAGCCAAGCGCGCTTGGGATCATGTAACATGAAAGCTCTGAGTGCGTCTGCGTCGCGCTTTGTAAAATTGTCTACTCGGTTCAAAATTGCCTGCATGGTTGAGCTCTTAGAGGATGAGCTCGCGGTGTGAGGGACTTAGCATTTATAGGTGAGTGTTGCCATGGGTCTGAAACAAGGCTGTGCAGCGAGAATCCGCAGTCAAATCCAGCAGAATAACCGCATCGCAAAAACGACCCTTCCATCCTTCACTGCTACCAACCCTGCTGTTGAACTCTTCTTACCCCAATTGTGGCAAGCCTAGTAGCACGCTAAAGTACGAAACGATATAGGCTGCTGTGCCTCTTTATGGATTTTCGTCTTTTCATTGATTCTAACTCTTCAGAATTTATGAGTCTCATGTTATAGTAGTTTTTTCCAACTATGTATGCGAGTCTGAAGCAGGACTTAGAGTACATGCGTTCCGCAAACAAAGTGGGAAGGAAGGGTAACCCTGTGGTGGGCGTGACAGTTCGAAGGCATCGGCCCCCAATCGCCAAGACGCTACCGTGCCCGTGCGCGTGACGCCTAGATTCGCGTAACGCCCCGCCTAACACTAAAACACGTTTTTAACGCTAACTTTAACGCGCTATAACTTTATAACTATAGATCTAATTTAAGCTGTAATTGCAGAATTAGAATTGCAAGATAAAGAAGAAAAACTCTTATATATAAAACTTGCTGCTAAATATAACATTAACTAGTTAATATTAAGCTAAAGATACTAAGGCTTATAGGCACTTAGTAAGACTAAGGCTTAAAACTAGCTTAAAATTAACCTATAATAGGAGTTAGAGCTTATATAATATATAGAAGGTCTTATAAAATAAGGCCTTTCTTCTATAAGAGAGATAATATAAAATTTCTTATTAGAGATTATCTAGAAGCCTATCTCTAAGAGCTAAGTTATCTATTTTATTAACTGCTATAATATCTATCTTATTTTAAAATAGACTACTAGACTTAATTATACGCGCGTTCTAGCTAACTCTAAGGTTAAATATACTCTCTATTTTAAGCTGCTGTATAGAAAGATAAAAAGAGTATAATATTAAGCTAAAAAATAGCTATAATATAGATAAGAAAAGCTTTCTAATAGGCCTTATTAGTAGAAGTAAAAGAATCTTTTCTCTATATTAATAGAATAAGAAAGAAGTTAGAGCACCTCTCTAGAATAGATTACGTAAGTTTTTAATGCTGCTAGCCCTATTATTATATAGATAGAAGCTTATTACTGCCTAGCTTTATCTATGCTACTAAAAAGAAAGTAATATAATTATTCTAGATAGACGCTATAGACGTTAGAAAATACTAGGTTTTTATAATCTTATTACTAATAGAATAGAGTAATAATAACGTTAGTTTAGTATAGCTTAAGCAGATATTTAACTGCTATATAAAGTAGAAAGCTTACTATAGAAGAGACTACTAATTACTTATACTAGTGTTAGATAGAAGGCGTCGCATAAAATAGGTTAGGTAATTAACCTGCTAAGAAAGGTGTAGAGGCCTCTATATACGCGAATAAGATGCTGCGCGCACCTTAGATAGAATAACAATAATAATTTTCTATCTAGAATCTTATTATATTTAACAATTAAGAGTCTTACTACTATAGTAGAGCAACGTGCGTTAGCGCAGGGCCTAAGCCTAATAGAATATTAGGCAAAGTATAAAAGCAGAAGGAGGCAGTTTAGAGGTTAATAACTTAATTAACTACTTTTATATTAAGCATAACTTACTATAATAAATAGCAACTAATCGTGCAACTTAAACCTAATACCTTAGTTCTTAGGAAAGCTAAGAGTAGGCGAGTATAGCTAAGTAAGAAATCTAGCTCTAATAATATATTAGACAATAGAAATAGAAATAGGAACATAAATAGGTAACAGAAATAGAAATAGAAATAAGTAACAGAAAATAGGTATACGCACAGAAATAATAATAATAGAAATAGATTATATTAAGATATAGAAAGAGCAATATATAGCATAGCAGTATAGCTAGAGAATATAATAATATTATACTAAGCAATTCTTATTACTAAGTTAGCACTAAAACTAAAAATAAAATAATATACTTGCTATAGAATAAGCATAGGCGCTAGAAGCCTCTTAGGCTAGATCTAATAGCAGTTAATTATTAGAAATATAAAATTTAATATTGCTTAGATTATCTAAGCAGTAAAGAATAAACTACAGTTCTAGAAGGCTATTAAGGTGTAGCCTAATAGCCTTTAAGACTATATATGCAATATTTAAGAATATAAAAACATAATATAAAGCTATATTTAAGCTATTAAAAATATCTTCTAGCAAGAAATACTATTAGCGTTTTAGCTTGCCTCCTAAATAGTTACGCTTCTGCTTCTTCTTATTAATACTCTTCTTTTAACTCTTATTATTCTCCTCTTATACTGCTTTCTAGATCTTATAGACTCTTAGGCTCTAATTATAATAAGCTTTCTATTTAACTAGCAATCTCTCTACTGCATAGAAGGCCTAACGTCTCTACTCTAAGAAAGAGGTAGCACTTAAGCTTATCTCTAAGCTAAGAATTTATTAGGCTTAGAACTAGCAGTAATACTAGCGCCTTTAGAAGCAGAAACACTTTTAGTATCTAATTTTTAAGAAATTCTTAAGGCAATTGCCTAAGAAGTAAACGCAATAGTATATAATAACTAGCGCTTCTACGTTAATAAATAAGCTCTCTTTATAGATATCTCTCTTCTATTTAATAGAGAAAACGTTACTTTATTTATTAAAGAAAATTAAACAGCGCTCTAGCTTCTACTAATAGACTATTAAAAACTATATCTTAAGACTTCTAAGCTACTATAACTATACTAGGCGTAATATTATTAAAAATAGTATAGCTAAATTTAAAGTAGCAAAACTTACTAAAGATTAGTAAGGTATCTAGGTAGCGCTGCGTAGACGTTTCTAGAGCCTTAATTAAGCCTAGCGCGAAGAAACTAAGAACTCTCTTAGATTCTAGTGCCTAAGCTGCTTAATAATAACTAACCTATCTCTTTAAAGCTACCTAGACGCCTTTAGGCCTAGATTTAATAAGTGCCTTAAAGTAGAATTAGTAATAATAGAATAGAAGAGCTTCTTTCTTGCTTAAGGCCTTAATAGAGAAAGGCTAAATAAGATACTAAATAAGTTTAACCTCTTAATTACTTAACTATTAGACTTTATCTTTAAAAGAATTAAACTATTTCTTAGCAAAATAGCCTCTAGAGAATTAGAAATTAAAGCCTTTAATTTAGCTCTTAGGAAAAACAGCAGCATTATAAAATTAATAACTAGTAATCTATTAGGACTAATACCTATAAATATCTTCTATATACTATAGCTAGATCTAAGCGTTATTTCTTTACTTTCGTTCGATGCTAGCTTAAGGTAAACTAATAACTCTAAGAAGAATAAGAGTTGTAGATGCTACTAGGCTATAAACTTACCTAGAGTAAGGTAGATAATCTAATTAAGAAATTTACTAGAATTAAGCTTAGTAGAGTAAACCTATTAACTACCTTCTAAGAACCTAGAGAAATAGAACTCCTTAGCTATGCAGACGTCTAAGAAGCTATTAGGCTTACTCTTGCAAAAGTTAGCACTCTCTCTATATAAGCACCCGAGAACTAAGTACTAGGTAGCTAAAACTTCTAGTAGCCTCTGCGTACTATGCCTTTAGATCTTAGCTATTAATAAACTTAAATAGAGTTCTAATAGAGTTCTTAGATATAGAACTATAGTAATTAGTAAAGCTCTTAAGCTTATTATACTTATAGAGAGTTAGGCTATTTAGCACGCTTCTGCGAAATAAGAGATAAGCTTATCTAGAACTAATAGATCTACTTAAATCTATAAGGTTATATTAGTTAGAGAAATAAAGAATAACTTAAAGAAGAAGTTAGAAACATCTCTAGAATGCATATTATTAGAACTATTATTAAAGAAATTAAGACTTAGCTAAAATAAAGTAGTAAACTAGTAGTTAACTTAGTTATAACGATAAACTCTTACGTTAAGCAGACCTAAGGATAGATAGAGCTATTTAATAACACGATAATTATAGAATAGAATAGCTTCTAGAATTTAGAAGTTATAGAAGAAGATAAGTTTGCATAGTGCTTAAAACTTACTAGCATAGTTATTAGAGCTAAAGAAGTGCTACTTACTCTAGCAATAGTTATAAGTATATCTCTTACTAACTTAGTAATATCTAATTATAATTCTAGAATAGCAGCGCTTAAGCTAGTTCCGTTATATACCTCTATAGTAAAAAATAATAAAAGCTGCAACGCTAACTAGATTTGCCTCTACACGCGAGTATCTTTTAATAAAGATATAGATATAGAT